CCCAACCGTTGAGCACTAATCGTCATAACCTTCGTCGTTTCAACATCGATGTGTCCCGGAAGCCAAGACAACGGATCTGCAGGATTGCAACGACCCGCGCGATACTGCCATTCGAAATCGAAAGACTCCAGAAATTCCGACCACCGCACCACACGTCGAGACAACAGGGACTTACGGCGCATGGCGGTGTTAGGTTCGTGATCTGTAACGACCGTAAACTTCACACCTTCGAGGTAACAACGCCACAATTTGAGCGCATGCACGACGGCCAAGAGCTCTTTTTCAGTGACGATGTAGTTCAACTCAGCAGGAATCAGTTTACGGCTCTCAAAAGCCACTGGCCTTCCATGCTGGAGCAAAATTGCACCCAATGCGAAGTCGCTAGCATCCGCGAGCACCTCGAAAGGTTCACGAGGATCCGGCAAAGCAAGCACTGGCGCCTGAGTGAGCGCTTCCTTAACACGAAGGAAAGCCTCGTCGCATTTCTCCGACCAAAACCACTTAGTCTTAGGAGAAAGCAAGTCCGTTAGCGGTTTAACCAAAGCCGCATACGCACGAATAAATTTCCTGAAGTAATTAGCAAGACCCAGGAAAGATCGAAGCTCCGAAACATTCTTGGGCACAGGCCACTGTTGGACAACAGCAGTCTTCCGAGGATCGGGCCGTACACCGTCGGCCGATACGATATGCCCCAAAAACGAAACGGACGGTTTGAAGAACTCGCACTTGGACAGCTTACAGTAGAACTGACGCTGTTCGAGGCGTTCAAGCACTGCACGCAGATGCTCAACGTGTTCATCGGCGGTCTTCGAAAAGATCAGAATATCGTCCAGATACACTACCACGAACGGCAAACCCTGCAAGGCTTGATTCATGGCAGACTGGAACACAGCAGGAGCATTAGTCAGGCCAAAAGGCATAACTTTATACTGATAATGCCCGAAAGGAGTGCGAAACGCGGTACGCTCCACATTGCTAGGATTTAACCGTAACTGGTGATAACCCTGCATTAAATCAAGTGAGCTGAAAACCGTCGCACCTCGCAAACGATCCAACAAATCATCTATCCGAGGCAACGGAAAACGATTTTTGATCGTGAGGCTGTTGACTGCGCGATAGTCAACACACATACGTAAAGTGCCATCCTTCTTCTTAACGAACAAGACAGGCGCACCAAAGGGCGAACACGAAGGTTCAATAAATCCCTTTTCCAAAAGATCCGAAATTTGCCTTTGCATTTCCTCTTGCTCAGGGAGCGAATAGCGAAACATGCGTTGAGCAGGTGGACGAGCACCAGGCTCCAACGGAACGACAGGCGGCAAATTACGATCAGGAGGTAACGAAGCAGGCAACTGGTCTGGAAATAAATGCGCTTTTTCCAGCAACAAAGCCTTAAGACGCAAATCCGCAGGTGACTCGCCGTGCACGACGTCACTAACCTTCTGCGCGAAAGCGGAAACAGATGAATGCGATGGCGGAAGTGACGACTCCCCCCCCGGCAAATTGACAGCATCCGGAACAGGATCCGCAGCCGAGACGAGACATAGGTAGAACGTGTCACTCTCCTCCATGGCCTGCGCAAGTGAGCAATGCGCAACTGCATCCAGAACTTCAGGAGAAGAACCAGATGGCTTAGGAATCGGTGTAAAGGGACCGTTACGCAAAACAGGACGACCCGAGATACGAGTTAAACGGGCAGCGTTATTGCATAACTCAAGAATAGCCCCAGTAGCCGAAATCCAAGGTTCACCCAAAA